GTCTATGCTAGTGATGGGCCACCTAGACTAGTGAGTCAGGCCACTTGATTGGCCCTACTTCATCTCAGTGGGCCGCAAGATTGTTGTAATCAGGACAGTCTCCCGGGCTAAGGTAGTTTTGCTAACAGTGCTTGCACACCTAGAATTTGTGGGGTGTGCTAACTGCACATAGCAATGCTGTGATTGGATACAGAGGAAGCACATGGTTTTTGCAGTCAATATTATGCACAATCAGCATGCATGTCACTTCACATACCCTTGCTTTAAATACATGTTACTTTAGTAATACGGACAGTGAAAAAACAACATGGACAGAAACTAATAGAATCTGGCAACCCTGTGCATGGGTAATAGTAAACAAAATGTCTGGCAGGCCACACACTGAATCCCAATGGGCCACATGTGGCCGGTGGGTTGCAGATTGCCCTCCATGGGTCTATGCTCTATTCGATGTACCTCATTGGGCATAATTCAGACTTGAAAGGAGCGTATTGCCTGGCCCATGTGGAGAAGAGATGGTTGGTTATAACAGCATTCAGCTATTCACTTATGTAGTTAGCATGGAAGATCTCACCACCATAGGAAGAGAAAAAAGACCACTACTGCTGAGGTGTTTATTGACTGTTCCTCCACATTCTTCATACAGCTGGACAGGTACTGGGAGATATCTTCTCTGTATTCTGCTGCCTCCTACATCAGCAGAAGCCTTATATGAACATACTGAACTAAGCTGCACAGCAACAACTCCTTGACTGTGTTTGGGTGAGCAACTAGCAGCTATATTGAATAGTTCTAGCTTAGCGTCAGCCTCTCTCCCTGTTTCTAAGAAATTCCAGAAGACCTGCTAGTTCCATGAAGCACTCAGATGTCAGAGGAACCGAATTACTCTCTTCTGCACTCAGAGTTGTGTATTGCTCTGTATCACACTCACTTGTGGCGTTAGACTTTACACTATGATGTGCAAGGGCTCTTCTTTATTCTGCACATTCATACTTTGTTCAATGCCATGCAACATTAACAGCCCTAGATAAATAATTAATGGCATCGGCACTAGCTAACTCTTAAAGGGCATGAAAACCTAGGACAGCTTCTTGATGGGGGAGATCTCCACTTTGGATATTCAAGTCCAGGTCCTGGAGCATTTTGGGGCCTTGTATTAATGATCATCTTCATCATCACCACAGCTGTATGCTATTGTATGAATGTGCGACACGGTTCACTCCCATCTCATGAGCATCTCCTGTCAGCTGGGAGTGGTGCTGCAATCTTCTTTTTTCTCTTGGCCCCTCCTGTAGCCTTGCTGACCTCACTAGGCAGGTCTTCAGTGGCTGAGCACTCCGGCCAAGTCACACAGTCAGACTGAATGAACTCCTTCTGGGATACTCACGTTCAAAACACATAAACAAAAGTCTTCCAATTCCCTGCCTCAAGCTGGACACAGTCTCTCCTGTCTGCAGGTGCCATCTCTCTTAGGTTCCTTTAAATCTAGCCTTTTTTCTTGGGTTTTTAGTAAGGAGTCTTGTTGCCGCTTCAGATTTAGGGCAGTACTCTCTCCGCCCCCCCGGCCAGGGAAGGGATCCAGGCCCCACCACTCCAGGACCCAACCCAGTGACCCTGTAAACAGCAGCCGTATCTTGCTTCCTTTAATAGTTGCTGCATTCCCTGGGCTGCTTCCCACTCAGTCCCATCATCTTCACCCATTACCTTAGGTTCTCTTTGTCCTAGTCCCTGCTCTCCCAGTGCTCCTTGACCTGAAGTTTCAGTCTTCCAGGGTCTACCTCACCCTCCTGGTCCTACCCAGGAACTGACCAGCTCAGACTTTGTAGCTCCTTTTAGCTGAGACTGCTGTGCTCTGATTGGCTGCTTCTCTCTAGCCTTTCTAGTCAGGGCTGGAGGACCCACCTTCACTGCTCCTTTCCTGGAGTGTGGTGTGGTGGGAGGGGCCTCAGAGAGCCTGGTACACCCCATCACAGAATGGAATATGGACTTGTATATCCATTTCAGGAACAGTAAAACAGTTACTTAAAGCCTTGTTATGTAAATATAACACACACTTAAACAGTCCAATGAAAATTAAATGTTTATTTGCAGATTAAAACCATCTATATAACATTTATTACAGTCAGTGAAACTGATGTTTTAATGCACAAGGCAAAAGTCAATCATATTGAAAACCACAGCATTGCAATTACTGTTAAAACAGTAATAAAAACTTCACTCAACCAAGGAAAATCCATTGGAGAAAAAGTCCTCATTTACAATGCTAGTCTAGCCAAGAAACAAAGGTGACCAATCCTGTAAACACTTTTGCAGATGACTAAGTTTTCTCAACTAACTAATTGTTAATCAAGAGACAGATAAAGATGATACAAACAAATGTATATATGCATTTGTCAGACCAATGGTCCATCTAGTCCAGTGTTTGGTCTGTTGACAGTGGCCCTGGATGTGTCAAAGGAAATGTACAGATCAGGGCAATTTATTGAGTGATCTACCCCCTCCGACCAATCCCAGCTTGTCTACCAGAGGTGCAGGGATACCAGGAGCATTGGGCTGCATCCCTGACCATCTTGGCTAACAGCTATTGATGGACCTACCATCCAGGAACTTATGTAATCTTTTCTGAACACAGTGATGCTTTTGGCCTTCAGAAATCCCCACCAATAAATTCCATGGCATGGCTGGTCAACAGGTATTATATGCAGGTAGATGAGATCATTTATTGAGGGCACAACAGAAGAAGTGAGTCTTAATAGGGACTGGAAAGAGGGCTGTTGCTTGGTGAACCAATGAGATTAACTAGATTAATGTTCTCTGAAGAATTAGGCAGAAAGTTGGGTAACTCATTTCGGCTGCTGAGAGAGCCTCTTGCCTGTGTCGTTTCTCTGCTTTGTACACCTGCAGAACACAAAAGAAACTTTTGAAATCTTTTTGGACTCAACATGAATGTTGACATGTGAGCTACTCCATATGGCAGAAAGAGGAAGGGCAGATGGATTCAGCGTTGACATTGAGAACTCAAGAACCCTTTCCTCTGTAGAGTATTTAAACACATTCAGCCTGCTTTTACTGGGGAATTGAATGACTGGAATTATATTTAAGACAAGGACACAGTGACCTCTTATCAATTCATATATTTTCTATCCTAAACCCTGAAAAAAATAAAAATTACATCCCCTTAAAATATATTTAAGGAACTCTGCCATGTTGTTTAGATGAGGGCTTTGCAGAGCCTAACATTAATAAAATTATTTTCAGTTAAAAAACCCGCATAAAAAGATTAGCTATTCCCCTTACAGGTTTGGGCATTCACTCCAACAGCAACTTTACTGGTGTGCAAAACCCACAACAGATTAAAAGCAGAAACTGAAATCAATGAGGCCACTCTCTCTGTTCAAGTTGAATGAAGCTTAGAAAGAGTACAATTGGTGGAAAGGTTTTAGATTTTAATATGAAAACTGAGTTTACAGGGCTGTTAGTACAGATATTTTAAAAAATGTTTTAAAATTAACTTCTTTTTACCGCATGCCTTGCAATAATGACAAGATTAAACATAAATCAACAGGGTTGGGGTGAGGTAAGTGATGTTTCCACTTTATCTCACTCTCCTCAGTCCAGCCTACATAGAGATTTGAGATCAGGCAGTTATATATACAATGGCCCCGATCCTTCAATCTGATCCGTGCTGACCAATTTCACACTTGTGCAGTGCCCTATGGACATCTGTGCACCTCACTCAGACTGCAGTCATCAGTCTTCACAGGTGTGTGAATCATCTATCTACTGTAAATATGCCAGTCATTCTAAGCACCATGCAGGGAGGCAGACCTCTCTAGCACTACACCTGCAACTATTCTGAAGGATGTGGCCACCACCAGCATGATGTGGAGAGGCTGGGAGTTGCTCTTTTAAAAAAATGCTCCTGCAGAGCATTAGCCTTGTAAATGCATTCAAAAGACACACATACCTAATGGATAAAAAGCTTCAGAGGGGTAGCCGAGTTAGTCTGTAACAGGAAAAACTTAAACAAATGGTCTGGTAGCACTTTAAAGACTAACAAAACATGTAGATGATATCACGAGCTAAGTGGGCTGTGCCCATGAAAGCTCATGTTACCATCTACATGTTTTGTTAGTCTTTAAAGTGCTACCAGACTATTTGTTGTTTTTTAAGTTATACCTAATGGAATCAGTCTGATTGTAGATCATCCCATTAGCTATCATTCGTAGCACGTAACTGAACAACTGGAAGAGATAGGTACTTTATCCAGCTAGTCTAGTAAGCAGAACTAATTCAAATACCCTTTTCAGTGTGTAGTGGAATAAAAAAAACACTACCAGAGACCTGTAACTACCACACAATACGGGTGGGAGGAAATCAACAGACTTACCATATCCCGTTAGGTGGAAATCAATGCACTTATCATACTCCATAAGCAGACACCAGCATTATTCCATGGTGAATACAAGCCAAACCAGCTAGCACAGCATAGTAAGTGGTGGGAATTTCATTTTCATGGGCCCACTACACAAACAAACAAGAACAGGGTAGAGTGAGTGAGTTTAAGTCGTTACGTTTGCGGCATTACACAGCTACCCTGGATCTTAGCTATTATCTCTGAAAAAAAGAAATAAAAGGGCAACCCTAGGAATTACAGACCAGTCAGCTTAACTTCTCTATCAGGAAAGATAAGGGAGCAAATAATTAAGGAATCCCTTTGCAAACATCTGGATGATAATAAGGTGATAAGTAACAGTTGGCTTGGGTTTGTCAAGAACAAATCTTGTCAAATCAACTTGATAGCTTTTTTGACAGGGTAATAAGCCTTGTGGAGAGGGGGGAAGCAATAGATGCTAGTAGAAGCAAAATAAAAGTCAACATTGTAACTGTTGCAAAAAAAAAGCGCAAACGTCATTCTCACATGTATTAGCAGGAGTGTTGTAAGCAAGACATGAGAATTCTTTCCCTTTTCTCCGCACTGATTAGGACTCAGCTGGAGTATTGTATCCAGTTCTGGGTGCCATATTTCAAGAAAGAGGTGGACAAACTGGCAAAAGTCTCAACAACAACAACAAAAACGATTAAAAGTCTAGAAAACAGGACATGAGGGAAGATTTAAAGAATTGGGTTTGTTTAGTTTGGAAAAGAGAAAACCAACAGGGAAATGATAACAGCTTTCAAGTACCTAAAAGGTTGTTATAAAGAGGAGAGGAAGCAATGGGCTTACATTGCAGCAAGAAAAACTTCCTGTCAGGGTGATTAAACACTGGAATAAATTGCCTAGGGAGGTTCTGGAACTTCGATCATTGTCTAACCTGCTCTTTAAAATCACCAAATACCTGTCAGGGATAGTCTAAGATGGTGGTTGGCCCTGATGTGACAACAGGGGACTGGACTTGATGACTTCTCGAGGTCCCTTCGAGTTCTATGAGTCTATGATTTTATTAAAGTCAAAGTGTTCAAATTTGTTCAAATCCATTTGTAGGCACCTAATTGGGCACCTAAAACTACCAGTGAAGTCAACTGGAGCTGCATGCGATCAGCACTTCTGAAAACAAAGACACCCCATCAATTAGGTGCTTACATTTTTACAAATCATTATTTAAGCACGAGGGTTAGAAAGTTTGGGGCTCAGATTATATTTTCCTGCAATCCAGCCAATGCAACATGGACACATTCAAGACCATATGTGATAAACATACATCCAGCTGTTGTGATTACATTACACTACGCTTACTCTGCACTTATAGAAATTGCTATAACAACGAAGTCCCTCCATGTGAGCATAGACAGGTAAGTCACTTATTTACCTGGTTAACAGCTGCTCTTTATATGTACCACACACAGTTGCTGTATACAGATCAATAAAAATATGTTTGTTACAGTTATGCTACCTATGACAGATAAAAAGCTGGGTCGAATATGTTATATTGTTACATATATATGTTTCAATCCTGCCCTCTTTCATGACTTTCCATGGATTGACTAGCAGTTTCAATCCATTTGCCAGTGGGATATGGGTAAGGCTAGAAGCAGCCATGTTTCTCAACCAGTGGTACTAGTACCCTTAGGGATACTTGAGAGACGTCTAGGGGGTATGTCAACACAACTGAAATTTGGAGAAAACTGAATTTTTGTTTTAAGTTTTACAGTGTTTTATTACTTTTTACACCCAAAAATGTCATCACCTGCCCAGCTATGATTAAGTTGTTTAAAGAAATGTTTAAAGAAATTGCGTGTCTGAAAACTATAGGTACTGGGGGTCTTTTTTTTTTTTAAAGGGGTACTTTATAAAAAAAGGTTGAGAAACTGTACTAAACTACCATAGATATTGGTATAAAATAATACATTAGGATAAAGAAAACTAAGCAGAACAGGCATTATACAGAAGACAGAGCCTGGACATCAGCACGTAAGTATATTCTGGATTTCTTATTCCCCACTTACGACATTAGCTTGCCTGATTTGTCACATATGAAGAGAAGAGCAGGAGGTATGCCACCACGGCTACTTATGCACCAAATGCTGTACGTACCCAATGCCCTTCAAGCATCCACTGCTTTCAGCCAGCTGCATCCTGCGTACAGAGCTTTGCAATACGTTAGCTCACATAACACCTTTGCCACATGAATGGCTGAGGAGACAGTAGAGGGAGAGGAGTGTGGTTGAGGTGTGCTGCTCCATAGCTCTCCTCTTTTCTTGGGATGAGAGATTGTTTCCTTTCATCTGTTGATCTACAAAGAGAGAGAGATGCAAAAAAAATACAGCAGCCAGTTACAGATCTAGGGTGACATCTTTTCCTCAGATTTGAGGGCTTGATTCTCATTTACAATAGGACACTTTTTCATCACTCTGGGAGTCAAAGCACTGGATAAGGGAGGTATGTGTAAAGTATGCCCGCTTTAAGGCGTATTACCTGCATACCTGCCAGAGTTGCATCAAGGGGCCTTGGCATAAATAAAATGTATGCCTTGAGAGTTTTCATCTACTAATAATTCAGGACGGTACTGAACCCTCTAGCTCAAAAACCTACTTGGATCAATCTACGAATGCATAGATGTGTATGCCTGATTTGGCTTTGTATGGCACATTACACCCAGAGAAAGACATGCAAAGAGTGTGCATCCCTGTCCCTTAAATCCTTAGGTCCTGATCCTGATCCAGATCCAGGTGAACTTAGCAAAACTTCCACTGACTTCAAAGGGAGCAGGATTGGGTATAAGGGCCTAATCTTTCAAGGTGCTGAGCAACCTTACCTCTCATTGGAGTGGTCCTGTACTTGGCTGGAGGCTTCAGGCAGAATTGTAGTCACTTAGCACCTTGTAGGAGTGGGGTCTTAACCACATCATGTGAATGAAGCCACAACTAGCTTGGTTGTATGTAGAGGGGTTGATTTATCAGGTGACTTATTAAGCACAGTGGTTAAGGATGTTGAAGTTGAGAGCAGGCTAAGCAAGTGCAAGAAAGCACTATGTATGCGCAGAAAGGTTCTGAGTAAGTTTTACATCATGTCCAGACATGCAACACTCCCTCTTTTTCTCATTAGAGGAGGGAACCTGTTTGTGCAGGGAGTAAGCGCTGCAGAGAATTTCACATTCTAAGACGAAACCAGCAAGTTCAGTTTGACTTGGGACGCAACTAGGAGAGACCAAATGTCTAGAGTGAAAGAGCTGGCACACAAAGCCCAATCTTTTCAAAAGTGAGTAGTGATTCTGTGAGCCCAAACTGAGTCTCCTTGATGGAGCCCGATTTTGAGAGGGCAAGTTGTCAGCATTTTCTGAAAATCAGGGCTGTTAGGTCTCTACTTTGAACCCCCGAATCACAAGTCAAAAATTTAGGCCTAGACTGATCTCCAATTTATCAAGTGCAACTCATCTTGCATGGAACTGCAGTAAAGCTGGTTACAGGCTTTTCCTATAGCTTTCCGAATTTAAGACACTCTGCATTTATTGAAAATTTATCAGGAGATGGTTTTTAGACCTAACTTTTAATCTGACAGTAGTGACAGAAAAATGAATTCATTTTGGCATTCACTTTTAAGTTGACTCTTCTCTAGAAGGAATAGAGACACTTCCTTCAGACCCTGCTATGTTTTTATGACTTTCTGCAGAAAGGGAAAATAATTGTGGCATTTATACTCCTGTTTGGCCATCACTATATATATATATATATATATCTTTCTTTATAGGCATTTTATAAGTCTATAAATATAGTATCTGCACACCTCACAAATATTAATGGATCTATCCTCACAACACCATTAAACTATTATTATTCCATATTTACAAATGGGGAACGAAAGCCCAGAGGTCATACAGAAAGTCTGAACAGCTGGGAAGAGAACAGAGATTTCTTGAATCATAGCCTGATGACTCCACCTCAGTACTCTCTGATGGATAAACACATTTTTTAAACCAAGAGTCACTCACTTTTAGAGTAATGAAGGTGGTGGGCTCCATTTCATGATTCAAAGGTTCAGGATATTTAGAATTATATGCACCCTATTCTAAAGAAGTATTACTAAAAGCAATAGAGCATAAAATAAACAAGAGAGAGAGAAAACCCTAAACTAATTGACAACGATTTCACTGCAATTTGGTCCCATTTTTTAAATACTAGTACGCATTTTTAACCACAATAACATGAGTAATAACATGAATAATACTTACAAGAATTTAGGGAATGCTTAATCATCAAATTAATGTCTTTTTCTGATTAGGGATGTAAAATAGTAGTCAAATAGTCGACTACCCGATAAGCCTAGGTTTATGGGGCAGTCGAGTTGACTACTTGCATTCCCTCTCCCCCCTTGCTGCCTCTATATCAGAGGCAACAAGGGGAGGGGAGCAGGAGCTGGTGCTGGGGGGGAGCCAGCTTAAAAGCCAATCCCCCTCAGCACCATTTCCATGGTGCAGGGTGGGAGGGATGGACAGGGGAGGCAGAGACGCAGCGGGGATCCCAGCGTGAGCAGAGATTGCTTCAGTTCCCGCTTGCAGCAGGTTCCCCACTGCACCTCTGCCTTTGAAATGTAGCAAGAGCTGTGGGTGGCCTGTATTACATTTCAAAGGCAGAGGCACAGCCGGGATAGTGAGTGCTCCCCTCCTCCTCATCGACTAATTGAGTAGTTGATGGAAATTCCATCGACTACTCGATTAGCTGATCAGTCAAAATTTAACATCCTGAATTCTGATATTTTAAACATTCTGGAAATGTGTTCACTTAATATAACTTTATATCTATGGTAACATCCCTATGCAATTAGAAATGTAATATATTTTCATTTCTGGGTTAGTCTAATATATACATTTGAATTATATAGTAATGGGAACTAGTAAGGGCATTGTATTCAGACCCTATTCTACATTTTAACTAGAATACCTCTTAATCTTCACTTTATATTGATGCTGCTAGGAGATATCTTCTGGAGAAATGTTAAAGGTCTAGACCCTGACTCAGCAAGGTAGGTTAGGTGCATAACTAAGTTTAAGCATGTGATTAGTCACAATGTATCTTGCTGAGCCGGGTAGTTTCAGTTCACCCTTATCTTCAAATTGTACACTGAAACATTCAGATAATAATTCTGCTACATTTTGTATTCCATAGTCAACCACGCCTTTCTGTTGCTTTTGAAAGTGCAGGAGAGATGTCCTATTTAGTCATAGCCTTTTTCAAGCATATCTGAATTGGATATTACAATATTTTAAATGTACCACATACCAGGGAGAAAAGACAGGTGGACACAGGAAATACTAAAACCCACCCAAAAGATCCCAAAAGATGCACAGTCATACTCACACAGTACATTTAAATTGAGGATCTCTTTCCAAACAATGTAACTTACAATCCCTCTCTTCAAGGTAAATATTATTATACCTATTTTACAGATGAAGAAACTGAGGCACCAGTGACTTAGGCAAGATCATGAGGCAAGCCAATAGCAGAGCTGGGAATGGAATCCAGGAGTCCTGATTCCCAGTCTCTTGTGCTGTTAGATTATCCTGTATCACATTGAACCTACATTCAAGCAGTGTTAATGCAACAATAAAGTCCAGAGTTAAGACTGAAATCTGCCTATACCTCACTCATACTGTGCTGATATCCAGCAGCTGTCTGTTTAGAGCAGGGCTACTCAACTCTGGAAGCCTCAGCGGCCACAAAGATACTCACAGCACATGCCGAGGGTCGCAACTTAAGTGTGGTTGCATGTATGTGCAAATATATATGCAAATATATTCAAAAAGTTTCTTTCACACTGACGGGCATGAATACAAAGATTAAGGCAAGACTACACAACATACATGCCCCATTTAAGTCGGTTTTGCTGATATTAATAAAATGCAATATTTATTGGATTTCCACCCATATGACAGCACTTTTAATGAGCAATGACAGTCCAGGAATTTAACTACTAAAACACATATTAACATAAGACCATCATATTGATTGCTTTTTTGTTTTGGCTCCCAGCCACAGGCCGCGTGTTGAGCCCTGCGTAAGCCCAAACCGCACAGCGGGCTGCAAACACACAGGCCACGTGTTGAGTAGCCCTGATTTAAAGCATAACTCATTCTTTTCTAACATATAGGGTTAGAAGAGAACGTGTTACAGATTAAATTCCCGATTCTGTAATCAGAACTGTGCAGGTAGTTATGAGCCTGCATGGAGCACAACAGACTTGACTGGGTCTCCATGCAGCTGTCATTGTCCATCTGTGCTGATCTGATTGTAGGATTGGGGCCTTAGCTTGTGCCTCACTGCAGAATTCCCATGCTTTTGTGGTTTCAATTTGATTAATAACTCAAAATTTGCATACTTTCCTTTAGTATAAACAGTATCTAGATTTTTTTGCAGCTATGGAGGAGAAAAAGTATATGATAGTTGACTGTTCCAGACAATACAGAGGGTCAGAGCCCTGTGTGGATACAAAATCTGTATGTGCACCTGCATCTAAAAAAAATGGTATCAGGTATCCACATTGGCATCCGTGGATGTGGGTACTAGGGTATAAAAGTGTAACCATTCAAATGGTTGATTAAGCATTAGCTTATCAGTTTCTATAACGGTTACATGCTGGCTCCTACTCCTGGTTATAAAGTTGTACTGCAGAGCCTGCAGCACAGCTGGCTGCCAGCTGTTGATCCCACTCCTGGGGAGCTGGCTGCGCTATGGGTTCTGCAGCATAAAGCTCATATATAAACTTTATACTACAGAGCCTGCAGTGCGTGTAACTGCTAAGATTTTTAATGGATCTTTACAGAGTTATATTTTTAACTGATTGTATAATATGAATGGTTAGAAAATTGTAAGCCTCTATATAAAATAGAAATCCAGATCACATATACTGGATGAGAATATTTGACAAGTAGCATGTACCCATTTACATGACAGACCAATTGCTCTTTCAGTTACCATTCATTCCTATTTACTTAACGTACTATTATATCATTCCTTTTGGAGTCTAATATCTTTCAATTATAGCTGATGCCAAGCAAATGGATCTCAAGCTATTCTACAATTTTTGTAGCAAACACTTTACAACAGATGGTACAGGATAACTCCATGGAATGGAGCTAGTTATAAATGTGCTCATTAAGGAAAAAAATGTTTCAGTACTTTGACGACTTAAATATATTTTCAGAGCAGTGCTTACCCTCCTGTCCCCGCAGTGCAGTTCTATTCTGAAAAGTGACTATGGAAATTTTTTCAAGAAATCTGTTCCCTGTGTATTCAGTCATAGTTGTTGTTGAGCTGTACTCTAAACCTTCTCAGGCAACATCAACAGAACTGTTTAAATTCTAGTTTGGTTACACCTGCACAAATCCAATAAAGACAAGTCTGCACAGGTGACCTGAGGGCATAGACTAATCTGCAAAACCTCTATTTGAGTGATGCTGTATGAAGAGGAAAGAACACACTGAGACTTTCAGATCCCAAGTGCTGGCTTTAAAAATAACATTTTATTTGTAACCTGAACATGTTTTAATCTAGCATCTCGAAGAGACAATAAACAAGGAGTTCCATAATACTATTAAGTCACTGTTCAGAGTAGAACTGCATTTTAGAGTCAATGTAATGCTTCTAAATGTGAAAGAATGACAGCAAGGGAAACTCAAATCCTCCTTTAGCCAAAGACCCTGTACATCATACACGAATGATTTCAACCTTTGTTCCTTTGTAGACCCCTAAAAATGTCAAATGAAGGTATGGACCCCTTTGGAAATCTCAAGTCTACAGACTAAAAATCACTGCCATAGGCAGACATGGTGCATGTTCCCACTACCCTTTTGCTAAAGTAATTCAACCCTGCCACAGAAAAAGCATCAGTAGGGCTGCAAAGGTAGTTTCAGTCTCAATGGCCTCTTGAACCCAGTACCTGAGGCTGCCAGTGAGTCTACCACAAAGGCAGTCTGAGGACACCAACTCATTTCATGTACCATAGTGGAGCACTAAACATGACATGAGTTCTCTATCAAAAGGATTTAGTTCCATGTTGTCAATGAGGAGCTGATAACGTTTTATTTCTAACCCTCTACCCATAAAGTTATTTTTGAATTTTTTAAGCACTGTTTGTATTTCAAATCAAGCTCTAGTCTAACACTGCTAGCTAGTTGCTGATTTTAAGTAAATTATCTTGAGTAAAAGTAAGAAACACTACTTAGCCTGGAATTACCCACTGAAATTGATTTTGCATACGGTATTTTGTCAGTATTTCCTAAATTAAAAATTTGGATCACAGCTATGAGGAAAAATATACTGGACAACATATGTCTGACAATCATTTATGTGTTTAATAGACTCTTTCCTTTTTCACTCAAACTGGGTGAAAAAAATAACAGTTGTAAATAAGAATTGGAACCAAAAAACCTATTTACTTCTTACATTCCCCTTTAAAAGTCTTTAGTGAAACTGGTACAGGGATGGTGGGGGTACTGTGTACTTGTCATTTATTTTACAAAATTCTGTACACTAATGGAAGAATAATAAAATTCTCCATATTAATGCTAATAATACGATTTGGAAGAGACCATTCATTTTGATAAAACTCTAAAAGGAAGCTAATATAGCTACTGACCCATATTTGCAGTACATTCCAGAACAGATTATAGGCTTTTGATTCATGTTGTTGTATGACAGTTTATGAAGGAGATTATTAAAAACTGATTCATACCTACTACCCAATAGTTTCAGAAGCCAGGCTTTTTCTCGCTTCCACAGAGTGAGACAAAAATTTTGCTTTAAAAAAAATTATTGAGTCATAACATAGTACACCATGGTTAAGAGAGATTACAAAAATAGTGACTTCGTAAAGTTAATCAAAACCTCTATTAGAATCCCAGGATAGATTCATCCCAAAGCATTTCTTCTTCTGTTTTGCCATCAGGCTGTGGTTTCCTTTTATCTTTTTTGTGCTTTCTACTCTCCTTCTCAGTGGATATTTCTTTAATTCTTTTGTCTTTACTGTGCTTTGATTTTTTCTCATGAGTGGAATCTATATCAATCTTTCTTCGCTTCTGCATTTCACTATCCTTTCCAGAATCTCTCTCTTCACTGTTTCCCTTTCTCTTCTGCTTTGTGGCTTCTTTGTTGTGTTTCTCTTCTTCCCCAATGTGTCTTTCCCCCACCTCATGTTTCTCTCGAAGCTTTCGGCCTTTCCTGTAGGAGCGGGTGCTATTATCGCAAGAGATGTTCTTGTAGCAGTCACTGGATTCTGCAGATGACAGGCTGTAATTGTCATTTTTTAAAGAGGTCACCTGAGATGTTTGCATTTCTGAACAATATTCCTTGCTGTCTTGACACTGAGCCATGTTTTCTAGTCTTAACCTATTTTCATGAGCTGGTGACCAGCATGGCGATCTGTTTTCAATGCCACATGATGACATATATGTTTCTGAGAAGAAGATGGAATGCTGTCCTTGCTCAAATGTAACCCTGGAAGATACAATATCCTCACAATCATTTACAGCTTCTAACTCATAGTTTTCAAACTCTTCTTCTGCTTTTCTGAAATAAGTTTTTGGTTCCAGTCCCCTAGCTTTTTGCACTTTAATGTAATCTTCTAATTCATCTTGAAAGGAGTCGTAGGTTTTCTTTGAATTCTTAATGAGGTTTACAACCATGGTTTCTCTGCAAGAATCGGATATAAAATCTTGGTTACTAAAACAAATCTACTTTTTTGAATTACGATAGAATTTCAGGTAAAGACATGAGTGTCTTCCTGGCTTAGATGTGGCATGTTACATAGAAACGCGTGTATTTATACATAGGAAATTAACTGAGAGGAGAAAATGCTCTGAAAAGCACTACAGAAGTGCTAGTATGATTATTATGACCAGAAGTTTTGTTTTTTTAAAGATGTAACTGGAGGAATAGCTAGATGGTACAAGACAGGAAAAGAAAAGGAAAAATGGTGAGGGAAGAGAAAGAAAAAGAGACATCCTCTGTCTTCCCAGCTTTCTGAGACACAGAATCCAAATATTAAAAGATTATAGCATATATGAATGTAGAGAGATTTAAGCTACACATTGTTAAACTAGTCAGAGATTTAAAGGGTTTTTTTCTGTCTATACTGTAAATGAGTAGGTCTTACTATATATTTCCATGTATTGTTTAATATTGAAAGGGTCTGTGCCCAACCTTTCATGAAGGTCAGTGGGAACTGTGGCTCTCAACATTTTTGGAGATGGGGGTCAGGTCCTAATTTGCCACGGCAATGGCGACTTCACATTGCAGACCATTCCCTGCAAGTGTGACTGGCTCCTTACTGAAGTACGAAATACCACCTCCACAAAACAAGTAAGGAAAAACTGGGCAGCCCATTTCCACGGGCAGGGAACCTCTAAAATTAAGGGGGAGGGAAGAGCTCTGTAAGCTGATCTGGAGGCCAGGGAAGGGAGGGAGAGGCTGTTATGTTAGGTAACATTTTTTATCTGAATATGGTTTTTAAATAGTTGGCCATTTTAGCCAGTAGAATAAATATGCCATGTCAAAGCCATTTCTTAGAGCAGCTGTCAGAGGATGCTGCACAAGACATGCACCCCCTCCACCACTTCTGCTCTGTAACAGAAACATGAACCAGCAGAGCAGCGCTGTACAGTGACAAAAGACTTACTTAATCTGATGTTTATTTCCTTGCATGTGGGACTGGTACATCTCTATAGATGTAAGAGTGATGTTACATATAGGACAGATGTAGTTACCAACTCCAAATGCTGAAAGAACAGAATGTTACAGGTTAGAGAGATTGTAAACAGGAAAATGCAAACCACATTTTGTCTATTTCTTTATGCAACTTCTTTTATTGGGACATTTTTCTCAAAGCTTATGCAGTAAACTGATTTTGTTTTGTTACAGTTACAAGAGAACCGGGGTCTGCGAAAGAATACCTCCAAGCATATAGAACAGCGTAGGGATGATTAGCGTGTAGCAGATTATTTAAGGACATTGATGATCATCTTTCTGTCTTTATTTCTTGGTACTTAAATGTTGGCAAAAAGGATAACTGTGCTGGAAACTGAAGTATTATTGTAAATATGCCATGTGGATCGAGCATAAGCATTCACAATATAAACTGGATCATTCAGTCTAAATACCGCAGTATTAGCTTAGACAAGGATATCTGAGTAGAGAATGCTGGATAAAGCCTAGAAAAACATCAATGTGGTACATAACGGCTTAACACACGTAGCCTGGAGTGAACAGGTAGTAAGAGCTGAGGAGGAAAGGCTTGTGCCTTACTAAGTTACGTCATTTCCCCACCTTACAAGCTGAAGCATCAATATTTCCAAATACAGCAAAAGTCAGTAAGTAAATGCTCCATCCCAAAAGCCAACCACCTTATCTATCTGACAAATTCAGCACACACGCCCTTCCCCGACAGGCTATTATTTGGAAAGCGCATTCCTTGAGTTTATTTATGACCACGGCCTGGTTAATTTAAGGAGGTCTGGAATATATAAATGGTAATACTGGAATGGGGTCAGATCTGGTTCTTGAATTCTAGTATAGAAAGGGCTGACAGTTGGTTCACAGACAGTCAGATCCTAGTCCCATTAAAGTCAATGAGAGTTTTGCTGATGAGTTCAACTGGATTTGGACCTCAGCGTCACTACGAAATACTTTCCAAATCAAAGATATTCAGAGACCATAAAATCTAGCAGCGCACAGCACAAAGGGAAAGGAGAAAATAAACTAAGTCCAAAGCACAAATCCGACTGTGATTTTTGGCAATACCAAACACCCACCTACAATCAATGAAGGCCCTAGAATAATTCCCCATAGCTTA